CTCCCCGGTTCCTCCAAGCACGCAGTCCACTGAAGATACGGTGCCAATGTCCGCGTAAGGACGTGCGGAGCCAGGCTCTCGTCACTTTGCGAAACAATATCGAGAGAGAGGTCGTCGACCAATTGCGCGAGCGAGACGACGAGTTCCTGGACAATTAGCTGGCAATGGCCTGGTCGCACCGATCTGAAAAGAAAACCGAGAAGATCGTCCTCTACGTCAGTTCTCCAAGTCTGGATAATCAGCAACTCCAAGTACTCGATACACGCCTGATGCTCGTCGGTCCTTGTCCACGTCACCTCCACTCGGGCCAAGCACACAGACAGATCGACAAAATTCTCGCACCACACCCGCCAATGCCTGGGATCGAGGAGCGGGACGGCAAGGGGCTCGAGCACAAAGGAAAGGCGAGGATGAAGATCGGATTGTCAGAAGGTGGGGAAAAGAGAGGGAAGACCAAAGGTGAAGAGAGGAGCGAGAGGAGCGGCGCGGTTCATTGGGGGCGTTGGAAGGGGACGAGTGTGGGGAGCACCACTGCCAGCTGGCGCGTAGAGGTGCGGATCTCGTCGAAGTTAGTCCCATACGTTGGGACGAGGTTGCACCCGGGGCGCGCAAGACCGTGATGCCACTCAGTCGATAACTGTTGCGTCCACTCCCGTAATGTGGTCTGGATCGCGGTATGCCGAAGCGGGTTGACCGCGCTGATATCGCCGCTGAAGGCAGCGACTGTGGTGACGTGGCTCATTCCTGGAGCCTCCCGCCGATGAAAGGCCACCACCTCTGCCAATACTACTGCCTGCGGACTTCCGGCGAATCGGAACGCAGCGGCGGCACACACACCCTTGGTGCAGAAGAACTGCGCCAGTCGTCGAAGATCAGGACTGAGCCGCGGATGACGAACTTGCAGGATCTCCGAGATGTAGCCACGTGGCTGCAGCAGATGATTGCCAAGAGCTTGCTCCCTGATGAAACTCATGGCGAGGAAGGGGAAGAAGATGAGAGATAGGAACAAGACGGAGAGAAAGAAGCGGGAGCTAGATCGTCGTCGTCCTCGTCTTCAGCAGATGAGGGAGACGGAAGGAGATCAGAAGGAGGAAGGGGACAGATGTAAGAGGTATGGCGGACGATGGGGACAGAGCTATGGCTGGCGCTTGCCTCGGGCGCAATCCGCACCGTGTTGGCACCGTTGGGTCCGAGCTCAACAACACGGAAACAGCTAGAGAACTTGGAAGCGAGTTTCAGGTCGCGTGCATATTTACGTACCTGCACAAGGTCCCCCAATTTATATTGATGTTGGGGACCGGCGTTCCCATTTCGGGCCTCGTAGCTACGGACTTGCCTCCCGGGGGCTAGATCAGTCATTTTTTGTCTCTGTCAGAATAGCTTCGGGACGACTCTTTCCATTAAATGGGCATACCTTTTGGCCTTGGCCTTAAGGGCGGCACGCGTGTCTTTACCCCCTGCTTTGGCAATTTCCGAGTTGCCCCGGTAATCGACACATGGGAGGCTATTGGTGTGAAGCTGAAAGGAGGTGAACCCCGTGGATTCGTGAGGGGTGGCCCGGTGAATTCCGACGATTTGGTATACGATCTCGGGCCAAGGACGCGTGTCACGCGCCGCTAGATTTTTACGAAGGGCAGTCTTAATCATTCGATTGACATTTTTTGCCAACCCATTCGACTGGGAAAGGTGGGGTGCCGTCTGTGGAAGTGTAATGCCTCGGCGTGCGAGCAATTCCTCTACCTCGCCCTTGAATTCGGACCCGTTGTCGGTTAGAATCTCTTCCGTATCTAGATGGGCATAGAGGAACCGATCGATGTACGTGGCTATTTCTGCGGCCTAACGGGTTTTGCAGGGGTAGACCTCGATGTATTTGGAAAAATGATCTTCAAACTAAAAGGATGGAATATTCGCAACGGTTTGGGCCAGGTGGCATGTCGATATCTGTCGTGTCCATACTGACTCGCTGGAAAGGGCGCTCTACTTCCGTCGGTACTATCGTGTTTGGTTCCCGTATTGGGGCACGATCGGCGGCACAGACCAGACAGTTGGCAACTACGTATCTGACATCGTCCCGTATATTAGACTAGAACCATCGATTCTGATCTATAGTTGCTTCAGTGACATGTATCGCGAAGTGAGCAGCCTGCTCTTCCTGAGCAGATCGGGTCCAATCATATCTCTGGAATGGATGGGGAACCGTCAACCACAAACCTGATCCGCCAGTTTTACGCTTTTCCAGGTGACCGTTGATCCATCGGTAATCCCGGGATCTCTCGGTAGCCCGACGTCTGTCGTGCTTAGTGAGATGATCCAATGG